TGGAAAGGGTGATGCTCGGGATTTCCCTATACACGCAAGTGCAGAAGCGGAGTTCCGAGCTCCGTCACCGAACGAAGATCAGGGATGCCGTTGACTACACCAAGAAATCGAAGATCAGGTGGGCCGGACTCGTTATGCGATATAGTGATGACCGTTGGACCAGGGCGGTTACTGATTGGATCCCTCGGGACTCAAACGAACTCCAGGAAGGCCGCCAGCGAGATGGTCAGACTTCTTCACGAAAGCTCTGAACGAAAGGAATGTTGAACCTCGTGTCCCTGAAGCGAGAACGATTCACTGGACCACTCTGGCTCGTAACAGGGACGAATGGAGACTTTACTGGCTCCCGAATCTACGGTCAACGGGGTGACAGGTGATACAGGTGATAATGTTTTTAGGAAACCTCCACTTTTTTAACATTGAGTGAAGCGCATATGTATAGAAAGGTTAGCTCATAATTGTGCTCAGGAAGTTTCTTAGCCGAAAACATACAGTTTGTTGACCTCAGCTTCAGTAGGAGCACCGTTGGATGAGTCGTTGAGTTGAATATTCAGCTCACACCCCATTCTAGCTTTTTGCACGAGGTAATCATCTCACCCCCACCCCAACGCTTCTCCTTCCTGAAGCTTAGATAGAAACTTCCTTCGTCTAGAACCGACTCTCAGCACAGATAAAATCGGCTATCCATCCTCTGCACCTAAGCCCTCAATGTTGAATAATAGCGATATCCCCTTAACTACATTTTCTAACTTTTTGTAAAAGTCTCTCTGTCTGTCTGTTTGCATATGCAAGTTGGGTAGAAATACTGGGAGCATGATGGGAATAATTACGGTGAACGGCAGGACCGGACTCCGTCTTTAGGAAGCGGGGTTTGCGCGAAATAAAAGTTTGAGCGGAACAAATAACTTCTGTCTCCATGGACCTAGAGCGTTTAAATTTAGCAGGAGTATAGGCGGCAGGATGGGAACGCTTATGGTGGGTAGGAGGAGGCGGGGTTTGCGCGAAATGGACGACTCAGCGAAAATCCATAACTCCTGATCCCGTGGACTTGGAGAGCAAAATCAATGGAACAGGGGCAGGATGGAACACTGGCAATAGAAGAGGTCTTAAAACAAGATCCAATCACCAATCAAAACCTATTGCCTTTGCTATTTACGAGCTAGGTTTGATTCTTCGATATGTTTCTTTCGACAAGTAGGGCCAGTGCAGAAATAGGGACCGATTATAAGACCGATTGCTTACGACCGCTACCCAACAAAAATTGCGATTCAGTAAAGGATCACGGTTTTTCTCTGCTTTGATATCATTCATGGCAGAACGTACCCGACCGCTAATAATCTGGGATTCTCATTTGAAGGCACTGTTCACGAAAAACTGGTTTCGGAGATTTGCACATGGTTTGAATTCGAAGCCCCCTCTGATATCATTTGGGCAGGAATGGGGTCGGAAAACGGCTGGATAGGGCACAATAAGGCCAGGAACAGTGGGGGACGGGAGGCCTGCGCCCCTCGCTAGGCTGACTACGAGTTCAAATTGTCCTTCACCACATTCGCACTGGAGCGAAGTTGGTGAAAAATCGATACGCTGATTGGCAAATTGCCAATTTGCCGGAGCACTCCCTAACTGCCGTTATTCCGATGTGAAACTCGTCCAAACCCCTTTTCCAGCTCTTTTTTGACCCTTTGTAAATCTTTTTGTTCATCGTTTTTTTGCGATTTTTTCGTTGTTATCGCTTTATTCTAGAGTAGTTCTATCAATTTCCGTCAAAAAAGGGTTCCCTAAATTTATTGCTAACGGTGCCTTTAATGATGTATCCTTAGAGAAGAGGGGCTATAATACGTTCATGAAGACATTTGATAATGGTGTTTATTATTATGACTTGACAACATTTGTGAGCTGTTCATCTTAAAAATATCATTCTAGGCATTTTTAAGATGAACAGCGACAAATCGAAACTTCTAAGCAAAGGCATAGTCATCGGTACATTTTGAATTTCAGTTGCATGCCTTTTTGCTCCTCAATCGAATTTCATGTTCCTAAAAATATCATTTGTTCCGAAGAAGGAGGGCACTGTTTGCCGAGTATCACAACTCTATCATAAGAAGGAGGGAAGCCCGACGTTAGCCGGGCGTCCCTCCTTCTTATGATAGAGTTGTGAAACTCGGCAAACAGTGCCCAAGAATTTTCCAGCTCCACTACTTAATATTTTGTTTCCACGGAGTCGTCAACTCATGTTGTCACTTTTACACAATTTCGGAATTCCTTTTCACAGGTAGGGTCCGTAGCTCTTGTTCTTGACTCTCATTTGAATAAACTTGGCGCTAGAGCTGTTCATTCGAATGTTGTGATAGATCTGCTCGTTCAGTGAGCAGCACTGCAGTGTTTAGATCAGTTGTAAGGCCGCTACTCTCAAAACTTCCAGAGCGATGGAGATGCTGTTGCAAAAGAATGAAGGACGTTGTTAAACTGGACGTCAGTGGCTCAGTAAGCCCAGTTTAAGAACGTGTTTCATTCTTTTGCAGTGTTCATAATCAAGTAAAGAACTACTACGTCTACGGTATGTTGCACATAAAAACAATTGAAATTCATTTATGCACATGTATGAATGTCGGCTGGTCTCTCATGTTCGAGTTACTGATAGTTAGTTTCTCGTCGTAGCGACTTCCTTGAAAGTCCTGTTATATTTATACCGTTTTAAGCCTTTTTCGTGTTTTTTCTGCTCAATACTCGCAGCTAATTCATGTGTCAAAAGAAGGGAAGAGAAGAGCTTGAGGTCTATGCCTGTTCCGGTACGTGTTCGCTCTCGCTTTGCAGTCTTAATGAGAAATTGATGGGAACTTTTCAGAGAGGTGAAACCCAAGTATCATTCTCAGCAGCGTCATCCTCGTCGTCTTCTGACGCTCATATAAATAAAAACACAAATAAGGTTGTGGATGGCAGTGAACCGAAAAAAATCGAGAAATCGGAGAAAGTAGCAGAAATGTCACAGGAAAAGGCAACCAAGAAAAGCAGTGAAGAGAAGTTTGATGTCAAAGTGAATCACGAGAAGAAAGCATGCAGTCTAGAGAGACCGCAAATCACTAGAACTGATGCGACCCAAGACGATATTATGAAGGACGAAGACGTCAAGAAGAGGAATAAAAGCCTTCAGAAGCCTGTGATTCTAGAACGCACTAAGAGCGCGTCCTTTAGTGAGTTGTGCCTTAACAAAGAACGTAGAAAAAGGTAACAAAATAACTATCATTAACGCTCAAGGGTTAACAGTTCGAAAAAGCAGCGGAAAACGTAGGAAGAGTACTTGGCCTGCGGGGCACCAGTGTCCGTCGTCAAAAACTTCTGCATTACTCCACGATAGCACTCTGGTGGAGCATGAAGGGCGAGTTAGGTGCTTGATAGAAGTAGTTGTTGCTGACAACTTGGAATTGCTGACAAAATCGAGGAGAACCTACTGTGAACAAAAGCGCTATTTGCTTGAGGAGAGAAAAAAATGAGAGCTACGCAGTGACTGTATAGCCCACCCGGCTTGTCTCCTTCCTGGAGAGTCCGAGAGTACCGGTTAACACGGAGGGAGGGGAAGGGGGGAGGGG